TTCGCATGTTATTATACATTTTATAGGAAGCGTTATTATTCTCGAATCTTTTATAGGTTGAGCGATCTATTTCTTTTTTTTTCGAACTAATTACGAGGATGTATTTCTTCTTCGATATCTCGACTTTCTTTAAAAACCTGGAAAGGTTTCATAATAAAACATAAGCGTGTTTTATTTCGCAACATATATTTTACGTAGAAACTCTTATCGCGTGTTACAAGATGTTTCATCCTTGGCATTTTATACCGCTAGCCAGGGGTAACATCAACCAGGTGTTTGTCTTCGATAAAAGTTTTACATTAAAGGCGAGACATTTGGCTCTTTTTAACACGTGTTACTCCGATCAGTGTTCAAGAAGGAAGCAACGATATAACAATAAAGATAATAATCGCGAATAATGAATTCATAATAGATGATCACGATGACAGATGGAAATCGGGGTTAGTCGATAAATCAAAAATTTATGTCGAGTACACATATGTATATTGTATATAGTTATATATATCGGACAATTTAGCGTTCAAGACACGATTGTTACCTTTAGTTTAGACATGCGTGACTAATGTATGCGTGTATACACTGTAATAATGGTTTCCCCTCTGTCCAAGCGTACTTCCTTCTTTAGATGCTGTATAAAATAATCGAGGAGAATTGTCTCTTCGAAGAAATTTCATGTCGCAAAATTAGTAGTTTCGTGAAAAAAATGTGTTATTGCGCGTTTTTTCCCCAAGTCTTTGTCTTAAAAAAAAAACGATCGTTTTATTACAAGCTTCTTGCCCTAGTGACGATATCCAATTCCCATACGGTAGAAATCGGTATTCGTCGACGCGGTATATACACGCGAACAATTCCCAGCGATTTTTCATTCGATATTGGATGAATGGTGCGACTCGTATCACCTCCGCAAACCCGTCATTAGACAGGTCGAGTTCTTCTTCCTCTGCGCGCATTGTATGTTTATTGGTTCGTACCAGTTTACCACAAAACTTTACCGTGTGCCAATTACGTATCAAAGTCTCAAATCGCTCGGTTTTCACCGACGTCGGAGATTATGACTTTAATCATGTTTCATACGCAGAGAATTTTCTCCTAAAATTTATCCTGAAAATCGTGGGACAATTTGGTATTGGAATAATTTTATGCGTTTCTCTGATTAATATTTACTATCACACTGAAACAAAAATATTTGTGTAAAATTACGTAATTATGCTGGGTTTTTTTCGACCCAGCATAATCATGCAATATTGCTATACTCATATACAAGATTATATGTAATTTTATATGAAATATATTCTTATATATTTTCAAGATTTAAAATATTCCACTGTGTGTGTGGGTGTGTGGGAACATGAAATTACACATAGGAAACGCTAGTAATGTATAAATGCTATAAAAAATAGGTAAATGTTTATAAAATAAAGTTCTAAGAAAGTAAAAATATTAAATTTAAAATTACAAATGATTTTTGCATAAAAGTAGTAATTTCATCTATATTTTACATATATTTTTATATTAATATGTATTTTTACTTTAAAATAATATGGAAAACAAATTATAATGATAATTATGATGATAAAGTACAATGAACAATTTCTACGTAAAAGTACATGGATTTTTTTGCACAATAAAAAATATTAATATCTACCACAATAAGGTATAAAATATGTTTGATTAATTTTACTATATGTACATATTAATATATTTTTTGTGATAAATATTTAATCAGAGAAACTCTTATAAAATTCTTCCAATATCATATTGTCTCACGATTACCATGATTTTCAGGGTAAATTCTCTTCGTGTAGGTACTTCTGGTTTTTTCTCTTTTTCCTTTTTAAGATCATAACCATCTGTATATAGGTAGAGGAAGCAAGTTCAATTAATCACGGGTAATTAAACCCTTGATAAATTGAACCGGTTAATCGAATTTTCTCTTCCCGTATATTCTCTATCGTATATTATATCATAAGAGGAGAAGTGTTGCGATTTGTGAACAGAAAAGAGAATTAATGAAATCACAGTTAATTAATTTTACTTTTGGTCATGGACGCGTATCTTATTCTTTATTACCTCTTTAAAGAAGCTCTTGAATTTTATTTTTCTTCCGCATTATACTCGGAAATTTAACGTCGGAAAATAAACTCTAAGACGCGGCCAAAAAAAAAGAAAAAATCTAACATAATGCGTTGCAACGCGTTTGTACAATTTGAGAAGCGTTCTTCGTGGACGTATAATGGGCATCCTTTTTTTTTTGCATAGTACAATTTCCCTGCTGGACCAATCTTTATACACACATATATATATATATATATATATATGCGATCTTGCTTTGCGGCGAGGCGGCCGTAACAGATAGACAAATAACTCCATTACGCGAGGTATTATGTACCCAATTTACGCATTTTGCCGTCATTCGTGCGGTTATTACAGATACGTTAGAATACTTAATCGTTATTAATGTGTTCCCTCCTCCTCCGTTATGCGCACGCGGCGTATTTACCGTATTCCGCGGAACGAAATCGTCCGCTTGTAATCAAGAGATGCGTTATATTCGCTTATTTGATCGCAAATGACTCAACGGTTTCATACACCATCGGTATACATACACCGCCGTTATCTCGAAGAAACGAGAGGGAGAGAGAGAGACAAAGAGATAGAGGATGATTGCGTATTAAAACGTGTAAATTAGAGCCAACTGCAGAAGTCTCTCTCTGCATCTCCATCGAACGAAGAAAAAAAAAGAAAGAAAGAAAAAAGAAAAATTTCTCCCTTCGGCTATAAAAGATTCGCGCCTTAGATGATGATGACCCGATTGCCTGATTGCCTCTTGCTTATCGCGAACGAAGAAATGAACGTTGACGTACGAGCGCACAACACGACGTACACTCGATTAACTTGGATAATTACGACGTAATTCCCAACCGCGTACGTCCCAACTATAATCGTGTGTGCATGTGCATGTGTGTGTGTGTGTTTGTATGTACGTGTGCTCGAATACTCGATTTACTTTCTCGTTTTTGCCATTTTGCACGTGCGCGCCCCGTCCATCTACTATACTACCATATGTAACGACAGAGTAAAGTGGTGCATATATTTTCTACGTACGAAGAGAGAAAGAGATATACATACGAAGACGTGCGCACGCTACTTTCTCGGTCGACCTATATGCGATTTTTTTCCTTAAAACCCCATACGATCCATCCACGCTGGCTGTATAACTCGAATCTGGGTGCCTTTCTATCGCGCATCATCGGGTACACGCTTTTCTGCGCTCCTTTAAAGTAGGGGAAATGAGTAGGAGGATCGTGCGCAGGAGATAGATAAAGAGAGAGAGAGAGAGAGAGAGAGAGAAATTTCGGATTTTTCTATCGGAAGAGGAAAAGAAGAAAAAAGAGCCCGAGTTTAGCTTGAGCTGCAGCGATTCACGATGTTGCACTCGCAACGTCTTTGACAGTCTAGATTGTTATATAATATATTTCTCACAATTGTTTCCCGGCTTATTTTCTTTCGATCTATATTTGCAATTTAATTTGTAGGATTTATAATATTTGAGAAGGGGAGAGGAAAGTAGCGAAATTTCCTATTGCAGAGATCCTTTGATGAATTTTTAGAGAGAGAATTCAGTTTCTCTTGGAATTTACCCTGAAAATCATGATAATCGTAGGACAATGTGGTATTGGAAGAATTTTATAAGAGTTTTATATTAATATCAATATCTATCTCAATAAGATATAAAATATGTTCGATGAATTTTGCTATGTATATACATATTAATATTTTTTATTATATTGTAAATATTTAATCAGAGAAACTTTTATATAATTTTTCCAATACCATATTGTTCCACCATGATTTTCAGGGTAAATTCTAAAAGAAAATTTTCTCTGTATATATAGATATTAAAGAGACAACTTTGATTAGCGAATTACGGCGGATGACGAAACTTATTTATGAAACTTACTTAGTCTACATTTCGTGAAACGTGAATGAACGTTTCTCTTCTCTTACGTTGATTTTTCTCACTTCTCTTCCGGATAATTTCCGATTTTCTTAGCGAAATTCGCGAGGTCGCGAATGACACGCTACTTCAATCTTGACGTTAAACCGTACCGGAACGTTGACGTTTCGAAAATCATCACATCGTTTGCGTTTCGGTCTATATATGGCGAAACAGCGTGTATACATATAATAAAGAATAAGGACCACGAAAATTCTGGCCCGCGAAATTGTTACGTCCAGGGTGTCTAGCGGTCAGGGAAATCTGGAAAACCGGGCATTGTCAGGGAATTTTATAAATCTGAAATGTCAGTGAAAAGTTAGGAAATTTTACCACATATCTGGATTTTTTCACATTAATCTACATTTGTCTCAATAATTTGAAATTTGTTATTAAATAAATATAAACTTTTCCTCGACTCCCAGCACGTTAATTTTTTGTATTGTTAAAAATCGATTCATCTACAGCGTGTTCGTTAATTTATATTTTCATCGTGTTATTTTATTTCAATGTGTTTGATAGAGACAAAATAAAAAATTTGATAATTGTATATAATTGATTTAAATTTGTTCATTGTTAACGAAAATATCTCAAGGATTTCATGATTTAACATTTAATTGATTTATCATATAGATATATGCAAATTATATTTGGAACAAATAATACTAAAAAGTCAGGGAAAAAATTAGCTTCTGGTCTTGGAAAATCTAACAAAGTCGGAATTTTTGTCATTGAGTCTGCTGGACACCCTGACATCAATCCGCGAGATCGGTATGCTGTAATACATATAATTCAATTGGGCCTCGATATCCCGTTTCGCGGTTCACCGTCGCGTTAGAGCTAATTACAAGCCTATGGAGAAAAACACAGGGGATAAGATAGCAGGGATGCAAGAGTTAGTTGAAAACGGCGGTTTTCGCGGCAAAATCGAAATAATACGAGGCACACGACTCCGCAGAGAGCTCGAGGAGAGTCGGTCACTCGGGGAGATTAATGCACTTACCTCGCTGGTGTAATTTGTCGTCAGCTTGATTTGCGGTCTAATCTTGCCTGGCGACTCTCGTGTCTCCTTGGCCGACGTCAAGGGGACGGTGGTCGTGACATCGGCGACGGCGGAGACCGCTGATTTTCTCAACGACAGTCCCGACGTCGTGTGCTGAGTGGGCGAGATTATTCTCGGCGACGTCTCGGTGAAGCCGGAACTCGAGGAGGAGCCTGCAGCTGGATCGCTCGAGAGACTCGCCGTGGACGAGAACAGGGACGACGCGTACGACGAGGAGGTGGCCGTCGACGTGGACGACGAGGACGTCGACGTCGTCGCGCTCGACGTCGTCGGCGAGATCGACGGCAGCTTCAGCATCGTCGTCGCGGATGTGGTCACCTGAGCTGGAACCTGGTGGACCGTCGTCGCGATCGACGACGGCGATGACGAGCGTAACGTCACGTTCTTCAGGGTGACGTAGGGTAACGTCGCGTTCTTCAGCGGCCTCGAGGCGGTCGTAGCGGTGCTCGAGGAGGTCTTGATAGGCGCGATCGGGGTAGTCTTCTTGCCTTTGACTGGATCATCGGGTCGACCACCCTTCGATGATGAGGATGACGCTGGTACCGCCGATGCTGTCATCAGCAGGGCGAGGAAGACGCAACTGAGTTGGATGATCCGCATTTTTGACGTTTGTTGATTTTACGGGATGAGTTTTCGCTCTTCCTCGGAAAAGAATTCCTCTAGTCGTGAAACGAGATTATTTGATGTCGCTTTAGGACCTGCGAATGAGATAGGAATTGTGTTAATTTATTTATGACGAGGCGTAAAATGGAATTTTTCTCTTTATACACGAACAGAATTTTTTCCTACAAAATATATGGTATTGGAAGAATTAGTTTATAAGTTTCTTTGATTAAAAATATTTATCGCGATAAAAAAAATTAATATGTACATAGTAAAATTACTCAAACATATTTTATATCTTATTGTGGCAGATATTAATATTTTTATTGTAAATATTAATCAGAGAAATATCTTATATTTCTATCTTATATTAAATTATGTTACAAAATTCTTCTAATACCATATTGTCCCATAATTACCATGATTTTAAGGGCAAATTCTAAGAGAAAATTCTCTTTGTGCAACTATAGGTATATTTAGGAATGAAAAAGTTTTCAAGAAAAATATATGTAGGCGCGACCATGATATTTTCACTCTTTTGCGTTTTCTTGTTTGCGTGTACGGAATCTCTTTGCGTTACGTTTCTGTTTTTATTTCGCATATGAAAAATCGTCACTCTCGCTTTTCGGTGTCGATGGCGTCGAACGAGGGAAAGGATTATCGATCGCGTATCTCTGCGGTTTTGCAGAAATTACGCGTGATGCGATAACATAAATAAAACATATCTACCATTACCTACTCATTATCTAGAGTAAAATATTTACTACTTCAATAGATAAAACTCTCCTTTTCTCTCACTCTCGTAATTAATTAATTAATTAATTAATTAATTTACACGTACAAAATTTATATTTTCTCGAAATAGGGAAAATGATCCAGATGTTTGCTAGACGTATCAAGTTCAACTGAAGAGAGAAAGAGAGAAATGAAAGTTTTTATCGCAATCAAAATGTTGCAATCTAACGTAATCGCAATATGATGTATTTAGAGGAATCGTGTGCAGCTTCCGTGGAATGTATACAAGACATTCTACAATTATATGGCACATCCTTCCTTTCACCTGTGTACTTGTTGAATAAATTCAAAGCCGACTGCTGTGACTTGAACGCGAATCGAATTTATCTCAAGAAGACATCTGTTGCATTTAAGGCGTGACTTTTATTTTCGATTTCCAGCAAAATAATTCTCTTTCTCTCTCTTATTTTCTCTTTATACACGAACAGAATTTTCTCTTAAAAAAGATGGTATTGGAAAAATTTTTAAGTTCCTTTGATTAAAAATATTTATCGCAATAAAAAATATTAATATGAACATAGTAAAATTAATCAAACATATTTTATATCTTATTGTGGTAGATATTAATATTTTTTAATTGTGATAAAAATATTTAATCAGAGAAACTATTATAAAATTTGTCCAATATTATTTTGTCGCACGATTAGCACGATTTTCAGGATAAATTCTAAGACTCTCGAGACATTTGTGTCGACAGGGCATTAGATTAAAAGGAATTAGACGGGGGAGGAAGAGAGAGAAACGCGCGCGTTTATTTTGCTCGTCTTTCTGAATGTCCGCGCATTGGTCCATGGCGAAGCTGGCCTCTCATCCGGCTCTCATCCGCTTCCCGACCTATCGTATTTTCCTTTCACGTGCTCGATCCTGTCTTTTGCCGCAACAGTTATCGCACCATTTGCCATACGACACTCCGGTGAAATTGGGTCATTCGTCGGCGCAAACCGAAGCCGTTATCTCGTTGCATTTGCAAGGCCGTATCGAACCGCACGCACATCATATGTTAGATATTACGCGTGCATTAGAATATATGCATATAATATATGTATATATACACGTATCACACGTGCTGAATACGGGATTAGAGAAAGACAAGCTAACGGAAGTGAGAAGGCGACAAGGAATGAATTATGCGATCGTTTCGACCAAGATAACTATCCGCGACTGAGATAACGACCCGATAAACGACTCTGATTAAATATAATCGATGAGTTGAAAAGCGTAACGCGTATTAATATGCGACGCATTCTCCTATCGGATAATATATAACACGTAATATTTATATATAAGACAGAGTAAGGTTTTTTTTTTTACAGAGAAATCTCTCCGATAACGAGATTCTATCGCAGACTTCGGGATATCTAGATCGATCTTCTCTAGATAAATTATTTAATTTTATTCTCCTGTGTTTGAGAATTTTTGCATTATATAATCGCGTTTTCTGCTTATATACACAGAGAGAATTTTCTCTTAAAATTTACCTTGAAAATAATAATCAGGACAATATGGTATTGGAAGAATTTTATACGAGTTTCTCTAATTCATACTATAATAAAAAATATTAATATCTACCATAATAAGGTAAAAAATACGCACGATTAATTTTACTGTGTACATACTCTGAAAAAAAGCTATTGAATTCCAATAAATATTTATCTGTTTTGAACAAGGATTTTTTATATCAAATAAATACTTTTTCGCGGCAAATCAATATTATTAGTTTCCCATAAATGATGTATAAAAGAGTATTGAAATAAATATTTATTTAAATAATTAAATAATTTTTTTTAGTGTATTATTATTTTTTATTGTGGCAAATATTTAATCAGGGAAACTCTTATATAATAAATTCTTTATATACCATATTGTCCCACGATTTTCCATAATTTTCAAGGTAAATTCTAAGAGAAAATTCTCTCTGTGCGTATGTATATTCTTCGTCTCCTCTTCCGTCACGGGGTGAACCACACAATATTTAACAGAGAATGGAGTTTCCACACTTAAACCGCAAACGAAGCTCTTAAATGTCCGCGACATCGGGCGTGTTTACGCGAACAATATAGTAATTAGATTATTTCCTTAATGGAGAGCGCGGAGAAAGAAGAAACGGTCGTCTTAAATAAGAGGAGGCAAAACGGTAACAAGTCTCGGAGAATAAACACAAAAGAGACGGTGAATACATATGTGTGTGTGTGTGTCTACACGTGTAATGTCATGTACAGTAGAAGTGCAAGTCACGTGAGCAAGATAGAGAGAGGAAAAAATTAATTAGCCGAAAATAAGCAAACATGTATTCGAAAGTTTTTTAATACACGTGCTTAATAAAAAAGAGAAAAAAAAACTCACTTGTGTCTAATAATTGGCGATTCGATACGAGCGGTGAAAATAATTTCACCGCTTAATAAAAGCGTCGAGCAATGAGCTAATTGATTCTCTCTCGCGAGAGAGTATATATAAAGAGAATCCGATATTTATGAACCGATACATCGTGCGTTTGTTTCGGTAATTTGTCGGATTAACGAGATTGAAAGGAAAGTCGCGATTAGCGGCGAAAGAGAGGATCTCTCTCTCGCGTTTTCCGAAGGATATACGAGGACGTAAATTTCGCGCTACCTTTTCGGGAAAAACCGGGAAACAAAAACAGGGTGTCTAGCGGTCAAGAAAATCTGGAATTGTCAGGGAGAAAAGTCAGGAAATTTTACTATTTATCTGAATTTTTTCACATTATTCTACATTTGTCTCAATAATTTGAAATTTTTTAATAAATAGATGTAAACTTTTCCTTGACTCCCAACACGCTAATTTTTTGTATTAAAAATCGATTCATCTACAGCGTGTTCGTTAATTTAAATTTTCATCGTCGTGTCATTTTATTTTAATGTGTTTGATAGAGACAAAATTAAAAAATTTGATATAATATAAATAAAAAAAATTGATTTAAATAGTTTATAGTGACATGTTTGTTTGGATTATCGCACATAATGCAGATTGTATAATTGATTTAAATTTTTGTTTTAACTTCCGAATCTTTTCATTGTTTACAAAAATATCTGAAGAATTTTATGATTTAACATTTAATTGATTTATCATATACTGTAGATATATGCAAATTATATATTTGGAAAAAATAATATTAAAAAATCAGGGAAAAATTCTGGTCTTGGAAAATCTGAAAAAGCGAGGGAATTTTGTTGAGTCTGCTGGACATCCTGAAAAAGGAAGACGAAAAAGGAAGCAGAAAGCCGCGATGCGATTTGCCGACGACTGTAACTGGCCTAACGGATCTTTTGGTTAAATTGGCTTAACATATTACGGCCCTTTCCCTCGTCTTGGTTCATTGTAACGTAGTTACATCATCTCTCACCGCAGAAAGGAGAGATAGAGATCGCGGATGATTGTGGTGTATCAAAGAAACCGTATACGCCATATACGTGTTCGCTTTCTTTGAAATAATTCGAAAGACCGGTTATTCTTAGCGCTGCGTGTCGATTTATACCTTAGAGGTGTAAAGTTGAAGGAGTATATGATGAGCCGAGAATGGGAAATCGGTGTCCATCATTATTGCAAAAGTAAAATGAGATATTCCTTTCCTCAAGAGGAAAACAATTTGTTTCGCAAATCACTCGACGAAGATATAATATATTAGGGTGAGAATAACAGATCGTTACGTTCCCTCGCTCGTTCTAAACAGGAAACAGCAATATTCGCGATAAGTAAAAGAAGAAGAAGAAGAAGAGGCGGCTTTCCGACACTCTCTGGTATTTGGGATAAGACATTCAATGAAGAATACACCGCCCACCGCCCCGATTCGCATCGGTAGCGCCGGTAGTTGGACATGTTCCGTAGATTGTAACGGAAGTACGAAGAGCAAAAGGGGACGATCGGAATGTCGCTTCTTCTTCTACTTCTTCTTCTAGTTAGAAGAAATATCTTTCTAGTTCGCGACGAAATTATCGATGTCGAACGAATCTCGTTCGCAAATGGAGCAAGTTAAAGAGGACGCAAATATACTTTGCTTTATTCCTTTTTTTTTTTTTTTTTTTTTACATTGAATTTATTTGCATATTTTACAATATTTGTGAATTTATTCGTAGCGACTTGATAGTACAATAATTTTTGTAGAAATTCTGTCAGAAGTGACTTGATGCACTAAGGTTGCAACTTACAACTTTTATGGCTTCGAAGAATAAAAAATAATAGCAATTGTTTTATTATCGAAGCGCAGCAACTTGTACTGACAAACATCTCCCAATAATTATATAATATAATAATTAAAAATAAAATGAGGATAATGTGTCCAAATATATATTTTAGTTAATATTTATACTTGGTCTTTATAGAAATTATAAAAAAATAACAATATTAGAAATTTATATACAAAGAAAATTTTCTCTTAGAATTTACCCTTAAGAATTTTATAAGAGTTCCTCTGATTATATAATATTTACCACAATAAAAAATATTAATATGTACATAGTAAAATTAATCAAACATATTTTTATTAATATTTTTATTGTAGTAAATATTAATAAGAGAAACTGTTTTTATAAAATTCTTTCAATATCATATTGTCTCACGATTACCATGATTTTCAGGGTAAATTCTAAGAGAAAATTCTCTATGTAGAAATTATATCAGAATCAACGTGACTTGACATCGTGATACACTAAGGTTGCAACCGTCTTTTCACTGCTATGAAAAATAAAAATAATAACAATTGTTTTATTATCGAAGTATAGTAACTTGTATTCACAGACATCCCTCAATAATTATATAATATATGCAAATATATATTCCAATTAATATTCATACTAGGCCTTTATATAAATCATAGAAAAATAACAGGAATATTAAAAAATGGATATGAAAATAAATGACATGTATGTATGTTTTGAAAACATGATGAGTGGAAGTGAATTCTCGAACGGTAACCAAGTGTAGCAAGTCGTCTCGCTTCTACTTCATTAATATACAAACGAAATGAGCAAGTTCGTACCTCGTGAAGTGTACCGACTCTGACCCTCGACCTTGACTTTCGTCCTCGCTTCGGCTCGAGTGCGACCTCGGCAGCGACCTCGACCGCGATCCCTGATAGGAAAAGAACTCCGCCTTGACAAGCCGGTAGACAAGCAGTCAGTCAGTCGGTTTTACAATCCAACGTCTGCGGTCGATCTAGCACCTGTGCTTTCGGTCTGTCTCTCGGAAGGAAATTCTGCAGTTCGTTTATCGCACTTTAGAACAATCGAGTAGTTCGCGAGATGGTTTTTTTCTGGCAACACCCGAGATATCGCGATGGAGAATCGTTCGATAGCACCCCTCGGAGTCACCCTCTTCAGGGCGTTCCTCGTCACTTGGAAGCGAGAGAGGTTCTGTTTAGGCGCCTTGGATGAAACAAAAGGCCTTGTGCTATACCAGCTTCTGAGATAGACTGT